ATCGACTCAGATCTGGTTTTGGACATTGAGTTTCCACGTATTAAGCACTTAATGGCCGTTGGTGGATAAGCTGCTTGTACGTTGGGCATACTATCTTGTACGCTGCACGTACCACCACAAAACCCTGTACGCGAAGCATACTGAGGTTGTACGCTGGGCGTATGCCTCTAGTGATTTGGGCCCTACTTAGCCTTGGGCCTGGATCGATTAGGGTAATTGGGCCTTGGAATTATTTTTAGGCCATGGATGTCAAGGTTGGGCCTATTGGCCCTTGTGGCCTATTGTTGTTCTAGACCTTGGATGTAGGCCCATCTAGGAAGAAAGACTTTTGGACCTTTGTGGAGGAGTTTGGACTTGGGATTTTGGGCCCTTAGTCGAGTTTCTGTTATAATCCTCATTAGGATAATTGTATATCTTTACAGTGTGAGAATTTGGATTGGTAGTCGAGCAGATTTTACTTTCAGCAGATCGAGGTGAGTCTCTTCCCGGTATTACGGGTCGAAGGCACCAAGGCCGACCCATTAATTGTTATGAAATATATTAATTGTTGTGTGTTGTATGTTATGATCGGGTTGAAATACACCCAGGGCGGGGACCCAATATGATATGTCGGGTTGAAATATACCCCAGGGCAGGGCCCAATATGTATTGTTGGGTTGGAATAAACCCCAGGGCGGGAGCCCATATTTGTGTTGGGTTGGTACGAACCCCAGGGTTGGGCCCACTTGTATGCTTGGTATGTGTTGTTTGGAAAACTCACTAAGATTTTGCTTACAATTTATTTGGGTGTTTCAAGTACTTCCGGTACTAAGGGGAAAGGCCCGACTTGATGGCGCAACATTCACTCTCCAACATTTTCCGCATTTATTATTATGGATACTATGATCTTTTGTTCTGACTTGATGTAATGGATTTCTTTTAAAAAATTGTGAATGAAATTCCCAATTTAAAAATGAAAAAATTTTATTGCAACTTTTGGGCTATTACACATATTCACTTAATAGTTAACTCACATCATCAAGAGTTCCACAAAGCACAAAGCAAGCAGCATTCGTGCAGTAACACTCCAAGCCACAACCACACAGAGGACATCTCAAGCTCACTTCTTACCAAGAAAGATTCCAAATCTAGTATAACATCTAATTCCTCTAGGCTACAAGGCATCATATATCTGGCTAATCCACCCAATCATTTGAAATCCATACTAGCATACAATTCTAAAAGCTGAAACAATCAGACATATAAAGGCATCTCTCCTATCATGAAATTCTGAGCAGATCTTTAACCCTAATCTAACATGAAATTCTCATATCATATAACATAACAAACGTGTATGGGTATTTTGGGAATCACTTACTTGAGCTCGACTGATTACACACACCACACCCCTTTCTTTTATTAGAAAATCCTTAATTAAAACTTTGATTTTATGAAAAATCTACCAAACCCTTAGTTTGAGTTCAAACACACCCAAGAGTATGCCAAAATCCCTCAAACTAAGGCTCTGATACCAACTTGTAACCTCCAAAAATTATAAGGTAAAAATTTTAATTTTTAAATCAACCATAGCACCATTTAATCATTTTAGTCATTCAAGGTATATCAGAGTAAAAATAGTTATCAGAGTACAATTCCCAAAATCATAAAGTTTAGAAACATGGGTGGATGCGCTGCGATCAAGCCGAGCCCTTCCCTCACGAATCAAAATTACCTGAAAAACATTTTGAACATAAACCGTAAGCATAAAGCTTAGTGAGTTCCCCAAAATACCTCATACCATACATATCTGCCAGTTTAAGGCTGTATCGGGTATATTTCACCCCGAGTCTATTTCAATTTATGTGACGGCCCAAGGCCGTACCGGGTCTCTTTCACCCCCTGGTCTATTTCATCCCCCGAGTCTATTTCAACTCATGTGTCAGCATAAGGCTATACCAGGTCTATTTCACCCCCGAGTTTATTTCAACTCGTGTGTCAGCACAAGGCCGTACCGGGTCTATTTCACCCCTAGGTCTATTTCACCCCACATACATATAGCAAACATGCACACATACATATGACACATACAATAGGAGTCACAAAGACTACAAGCCAATAACATATCCTATTGTCCTACAGTATAGTGAGTAAACTCACTTCAGTCTGTGTCAGTTAAATAGATGCTCGGGCTGCTAAACCGAAAAATCTCCGCGCTAACCAATCAAATAAAACCCCAATTAATAATTAGGCCATAAAGCATAACTGGGAATCTAGTTCATTTGTCCAACACCTAGTGTAAAAGACCATTTTATCCTTTCCTCACTTAGCCCAATAACCGAGTCCCAACCCAATGGCACCAAAAGCCCAACATTGCCCAAATTCCTAAATGATACCCAAAGCCCATTATGGCCCCAAATCCAAGAAGGCCCAAAGCCTAGCAATGGCCCAAAGTCAGAAAGATTGGTGGCCCAACAAGGCCTAAAACTCTAATAGTCAAAATATGGCCCAAACCACAAAAGTCAATAAAGCCAACAACTACTAATTACGCCCATCATACTCAGACTTACGCCCGACGTACGCCACCTTTGGCCAGTACGCACAGCGTACGAGCTGGGTATGCCCAACGTACTCCACATCAGCCCAATCTCATCATTAATTGCTTAATTGGTTAAGCCACTAAGTCCACTTCTTAGATCTGATCCTAAATGACGTCTTAACACGTAAAGTTGGCAACTTTACTCATTTGCATGTCTTAATGGGACCCAATACTTGTTTTTGACTATTAAAACCCATAATAAGAGCCCTAAGTCGTGCATGGTCCAATATAACACATCAAGATTGCATTTTTATGCACAAGGAACCTCAACAATGCTAAGATCTACCATCCCTAGCTTCTGGAGTAGCCCATACTCTCAAGCATGACTTAAGGGACCATAAAATGCACAAAAACAAGCCCTAACTAGATCTATCATAATGAACCATCAAGTCAAGAGCTTTATACCTCAAAAAGCTTTCCAAGTTGGTGATGATTCTGGATCTACAAGCTTCAACCACACCAGTGCAACTTCCAAGAGGTCTTCTTCCTTTAAGGTCACCAAAAACACTCTCAAAGATCACTTCCAAGCTCAAAACACTCAAATGAAAATTAGGGCTTCGTTCTCAGGGTTTGGAAAGGTGGAGGCTGAAGGTAAGGAGGTTTGGGAATGAGTTAAGGCCTTTAAATAGGGTCTAAGACCCCAAAATTGGGTTTGAGTCTGAGTAGCGAACGCCTAGTGTTAAAATGGAACGCCCATCGTTCTCGTGGGAACCTTCACGATCACCCAGCCACGAACGCCCAACGTTCCCGGCTTGCCTAAAATCCACATAACTTCAAACGGTCATAACTTAGTCGTTCAAACTCCGTTTTCGGCGATCCTTATATCCACGAAAAGGTGTTGATATGCTCTACAACCCTATTTATTTTCGTTTGACTTAAAACACATCAGACTAAAATCCTTAAATTCAATAAAAGGTCTAAATCATCACTTTACCAATATACCCTTAGGCTCCAAAACACAAATCGGACACTCGATACCCACAACCTACATTATCCACCGCCAATTGGGTCTAAACCCCTCCTTCCCAAGGCCCAAAGCCTTATGATACTTGATCCTAGGGTCACGGCCTCAAATTATAAAACGACCCGAAAACATGGTCGTACACCTTCAGTAGTTCTGCACCAATAGCATATAACCGCTAGTGGTGCTCGATCCGCCAATGGGACGCCTCCACGTCCTGTCGGCCCAGACAAGACAAAATGTATAGTCGGAGACATGCTCCAACGATGACATGTATAAAAGAAACCCTTCTTCTCCAGAAGAAGGGATGACCTCACTCTTTACCTTAAACTAAACCCTAATTATCTCATTCTCTGATCCAATTTACTGACTCGACCGTCGGAGCCTCGTTCCGGGACTACCTCCCGGTCGATGACTGACGCTGGTTCTTTCTTTGCTATGATTCTCACGCTTAACCCAGACGACGCTGTCCCCCAAACGACATTAAGATCGAAACATATATCACAACAGCGACGGAGGCTGATATCGACATAGGGGCGACGATGCTAGTTGCGAAAGACGGGGCATCAGATCCTTAATGTTCTTGGATTACACTTTGGTTGGGATTTACATGAGATAGAGTACATGGGAAGGGATAGAGGGGTGGGTAGGTGGAATTTTTATTTTTTGTTTTTTTAATTAAAAATAATAAGAATATAATTAAAAGAAATTTAAAAAAATTAGTTAAGGATATAGTAGTCATTTTAGGTTGGGTATAGACCAAAATCACACAAAAATACCAACTATAAGGACCAAAACCACACAAAGTATCCGGAATTCGAGCACTGATGTACCCTTAAATTTTTTTAGACCAAAACTACATGATTTTAACAAACATGGGCATTTTTGCAATTTTGGCTTTCCAATATTTAATAATCAAAAGTGAACCTATTAAACTAAACCGTCAACAAACCGATTCAAACAAAAACCCGTCTCTAAGGCTGGACGGTATGAGTGAGGGAAAGAGTGAGGGAAGTTTTCATTCTCAGCTGAACACCATCCCTTGACTGAGGGAAAGAGATGAGAGATCCCATTCCCTCACTCTCTCTTCTATTCCTATTGGTCAACTTTTTTTTTATTTTTTTTTATCTTTTTTAATACTTATTAAATTATATACCTACTAAAAATTATAAAAAAATATATCAAAACTCATGGTTTTTAATTCCCTACAAAATGAGTATAATATTTATAGGAAATATATTTTAAAAAAAAAATAGTAAAAGAAGTTTCGAATCCATTCATTGGGTTTAGCAGTTTAGGTAAAGAAAAGGGAAGTGAAGCCGGTGTGGCCACAAAAAATTAGGAAACTCCCCGTACCCTCCTGTCTAAAACATGCTAAAACGGTTTGCCCCGTCAAATTGACGTTGTGGTCGGTCCCTTGGCACGCGCGTTCAGCAGTAATAGACCGGCCGGACGGATGTAGGCATGAGAAAGACGCACGTTGAGAATCTATTACACGCAACCATCACACTCTCTGTTAATCTATATCACCGCTCCATGTTAACTAACAAATCCCTAAATGAATTTCATCCCTAAGTAATTGTTCATGCGAATTCGATTAGGCAAGTCTTCTTGTTCCCATTTTCCGTAATAGGAATACCCTCTTCACGTTGTTAGGCTCGTTCCCCATACACGCTCCTTCACAACGTTCATCAGCGAGAAGAGCTGCGACCCTTCTTCATCTCCGGTCCAGACTTCCTATCGCCGGCGCCGGCTACTGCTTCTTTATCTGGTAAGTCCGACTTTCTTTATTCGGTTACACCTCCTCGATTAATACATGAATGTTTGATTTCTGGAATCGATGAAGCATATAACTTTCTTGTTCGATTTTGTATCTAGAGCTTAATTCTTGTTCCTAATTTGAGTAATTTCTGGTTTGGAATCCCACTTTCTTTTTCTGGTTCTGTACACCTCGTGATAAGCTGATGATTTTTTTTAATCAATAAAGCACTTAAATTTGAAGCACATGAATTTTTTTGAATCAATGAAGCTTATAATCTGATTTGGTGTAATAATCTGATTTTGTTGATTTAGTTCGGTGATTATCTGGTTACATGTTAAGTTGTTAACAGTAAGCACTTATGTTTGGTGTTATAATCTGATTTTGTTGATATAGTTTGGGCTTTTGTTTTGAAAATCACTTAATAAACCTCCTAATCATCCATACATCTGATCTAGTTAGATAAAAGAATTATGTGCATATGTTTTTTCAATTAGATTTGAATGGGCCTATCTCATCCAATAAGCTAACCATGGAAAAGATATATATCACCACAGTCCCTAAAGAAAAAACGTTTCTTAATACCAAATAGAAGACTTATTTAAAAGTAACAAACAAATCATCAGGAATGGTCAACATAACAAGATATCATTGTAAGTGAAGTACATTGTTTGCCAATTTATAAGCCACGTGTCCATTTGAGATACAAGAAAATGGTTTTGAATCATGGATACTGTACTCTGTACATACAGATACACGAGTAGATCCAAAAATTTGACAGAGTTATATTATTAGTAACTGCATTGTCTTGATAGGCTTCTTTTGAAAGTATAATGCTAAAAAAGTTTTCATCTTTAAAATACCGTGTCTTAATAGAAAAAAAAAACTATACTAAAATCATTAAAGTTTAGATTTCCAAAGTACAATTGGTAAAATTAAAAGTATAGATTTCTAAATATGTAAGAATGTCCTTTTTGGTCATTTTACATGTATAAGTCAATAATCACTTTTGTTGCAGTGAGTGCAGTGTTGTTCAGAATCAAATGGCTTTACATGGAGGGCATTATTTAACTGGCCTTATGGAAACAAGCAAATGCTACACTAATAATTTTCCATCAACACTGATAAGACCAAGTTGCTTGCCTCGAATGCGGACTAGTTTTGATTTGTTTTACAAACAAAAATCACAAATCAAAATCAGGTGTTCACTATCGAGAGAGAAAGAGACCCTATCTCCACTTGAATTCGAAGATTCGGATTCTTTAGAGGGAGAAGAATTTAGCCATGTTATCAAGTTTAAATTTTCTGATTTTAAGATCAGTGATCGCGTTAGCATTGGCTTGGGTGGACGGGTATGCAAATATATTAATTATATCTGTCTATCTATCTATCTGTCTGTCTGTTGGATTGGACGTGATATTTGTGGTGATTGATTGTAGGGAGATGAGGTTGTATTTGAAGCGATAATCAATGACACTGATAGGTTAGCTATTACATAACACCCCAACCCCAATAGCTTAAGTTACTCATAACTCATAACGTTATGAAAATGCAGCCCATTGCATAATACGAGAGTGGTGCTTCGGCGACTCACTAGTGCTCAAGCACAACGCAGAGGGAAACGCGCTATGCAGGTGGCTGCTTACTAGCTATATTCCTTATTGAATTCATAATATTTATTACATCATCATCATCATCATCATCATCATATATGTATGTATGTATGTATGTATGTATCATTGTTTGGATTTGGAATTTGGAATTTGGAATTTGGAGTGTAGGTGTTAAAGAAGCTGTGTCGCCGTAAAATGATGTACCATTCGTATTCAATGCAAGTACATGGTTACGTCTTCTCCCCAGAAACAACAACGGAGGATGAGGGCTCTTTTACCCTTGTTCATGGGGTAGGTCGTATTAACTTTTTTATTAAATGACTTTAATTGCTTCCTTCTATTTTATCAATTTTCATTCCACCGTAAAATAAAATGAAAATTTGCAATATAACTAACCGATTTTCATTTATGTAAATTTTTAATGATTTTAGTTAAATTCACTTTTTTATTTTTATTTTTATTTTTAATTTTTATATTTTCTTAAATACGAAAGTGATTATTTATAATTTTACGTATATAATATAATTGAAGATGAATGTGATGCGTGCAGTATCATGGTGGTTTGTCTTTGAGGCACTGGCTTCGACAGACAGACTGGCTCCCAACATTAGAAGCTACGCTTGCTTTAGACGAAGAATCTGCGGTGAGGAGGGCGGGTGATGATACCGTAGGCGGCCCTGCGGTCTCTCGCCAACTGCGTGTTACTCGAATTCTCATGAGAGATCTGCTCATTGGAGTACGTTGCTTAATAGATAGTTAAATACTCTCTCTGTCCCATATTTATTGTCCACTTTTGACTTTTGAAGTCTTTATTCTTCAACTTTGACCTTAAATATTTTTATTTGTGTTGTAAATTACTTGATGAAACTTATAACGATGAAAAGACATTTAAAACACAATCCATTCATATATTTTGCATCAAGTATTATATATCAACAACAAAAATATTTAAGGTCAAAGTCGAAAAATAAAGACCTCAAAAGTCAAAAGCAGACAATAAATATGAGATGGAGGTAGTGTAGTTATTATTAACATTCGCCTTCATGTTGATTTTGATTTTGTTGTACCTCACTCAGGTAAACTACTTACATAGTCATGGACTTGCCCATACAGAGTTGAGATTGGAGAATGTTCATATAAGTCCAGTTGATAGACATATTAAAGTGAGTATTCTTAATCCACACCAATCGTATGCATTTCCTGTTTCTTTGCTTCTACAAATGTTAAAATCACAACTTTGGTTAAATTATTTTTATTATTCCCAAAAGTAGATAAAGATATTTTTTTTTCTTCCTATTTTGAGATTTCATGGTATTCACTTTATTTGTAAACAAGTATTTCAAAGTGTTGAATAGTTATTTTTTACTATCGGAAATATACATGGTATATTTCAATTTTCAAACAAACATAAAAACACGCTTATATGTAAGTTATTTAGTGTTCATTTAAGTAATGTTTATTTTATAAATTTATATTTATCGATTTTAGTTTTACTTAGGATTCCGGTTAAATTCCTTCAATCCAACCGAACATAATAATTGTATAATAATGACTCATTCTGTGGACCTTTGTGATTCCATTTCATCATACAAAACAGACAATAGGGAGTGCTTGGTTTGCAGTATGTTATTTTGATGTATTAAATAAATGAGAGGGTATTTTTGTCTTTTGATAGAAAAGGAAGAATGGAATCGAACAAATTGAATTGTATCCATTTCAATTGGCAACCAACAAACCAAACACTTACTTAGGATTCAAGATTTATATTTTTCCTTTCTTATAGCTCTTTGACTTTTTGTACTACAGGTAGGAATATTGGGGAATGCTGCTGACTTTTTTGAAAATAACACAGACAGACAACAAATGATGATTGCATTTGATATGAGGTATGCAGTCAACAAATAGATATGTCTTGTGTTGTGTTGAATTGAACAAAAATTGTTAGGGTTACTCTTGCAAAACATGCAATTGATCAATCATCCTAATCTTATCTTATAATATATTAAATTAGATGTCTTGGATTCATCATGGCAAAGATGGTATTACGGGAACTTATGGATCCAGTTATCTTCACAAAGTTCAAAGCATTCCTCAACAAGGTAACATAATTCAATCAGAATCCTAAAAAATTGAACCAAAGTAATATCTACTTATTCTCATTATCTGTTCAGGGAAATGATCCTTCTTGCTTGCGTGAGTTCCTCCTACCAACTCTAAACATGAATTCATCACATGGAAATATTGGGCTGCAAGTAAGTACACATCTCTTCAATGTGTATAGAAATTATATATATATTTGAATTATGAATAAAGGAATGTAAGTTTTTTGGTATTAGTGTTGGGGTAAATGAATATATGGTTATTTTTTATTGCAGATGCTAGATAGAAACTGGGGTGCAGGATGGCATCTGTTATCAGTGCTTCTTGCAGCTAAACCTGTTGATAGAATAAGGTAATTACTAACTGACTACATAAATGATCAAGGGAAATCAAGAATAACTAATTTTTGTTTGAAAAGGTTGTAATTTATATTTGTTACAGATGTTTAGATGCTCTGAGACATCCATTTCTATGTGGGCCAAGATGGCGTGTTAATCCATCAATGGATATAATCAGATGGAGTTTGGGATCAACTGCAGTTAGAATTACTGAGGAATACATATATGGCCACCAACAGGTACCTTTTCTTCTCTCTATTTTCTCATATTATTATTATTTTCTCATATTATTATTATTATTATTATTATTATTATTATTATTATTATTATTATTATTGTTTTCAGCGCATCAGGCTTGCTCATTTCCTTGAGTTAATGGAGATGTTGAATCCTTCAAAGCCCAAGGTTAATAACACATCATTCCCCTCTCTTGATATTTTATAATTCCAAGTTCACTTCACTTTGTTATATCATATGAGACACGATTTCTACGTCTTTCCTTTATGATGAGGGAGGGTAAGGGTAAGGGTATTTACGTCTTTTTCACATACGAGAGATAAAAAAAAATCTCTTGTTGCTGTCCCACCGCCTTTACCCTTCTATGTGGAATACAAAATTACAACTTTTTGTCTTTTTGTTCCATACAACAAATAGAGTAAATTACACGAATGGTCCCTATGGTTTGGGGAAATTTGCGCGTTTGGTCCCTAACTTATTTTTTTAACTCGGAAGGTCCCTATTGTTTGTTTTTGTTACGCGCTTCGTCCCTATCTTACCTAAAAAGACTATTATTCAAATAGGGAAAAATGGTAGGGTAGGTAAGGTAAGGTGAGGGGGTGGGGTTGGGGTTGGGGGTGTGTTTATTTAAATAAATTAAAAAATCAAGAGCAAAGTAGTCTTTTTAGGTAAGACTGGGACCAAGCGCGTAACAAAAACAAACGGTAGGTACCTTCCAAGTTAAAAAAATTAAGTTAGGGACCAAACGCACAAATTACCCCAAACCATAGGGACCATTCGTGTAATTTACTCCAACAAATATATATCCAGAGCTGGCGGGGGTTGCTACCAGGAACATGGAGGTTGGTGTACTGCAGCGGGCGGCACATAGGTTTAACCACCCGTGAACCACCATCTCGTGCCCTCATCGGAGATGTCAACCTCACAATAACTCCACCATCATCCAAACTATTCTCATTCACCTCAGACGTCACATTCACAGTCTTGACCGGAAAAGACTGGCCACACCACAAGGTGGGAGTCGCCGGAAAACTTCAAATAACGTCCGATTTCCGGTTAACTGCCGGAAAAAGACTTTACCTGAAACAAGAAAATGGTAGTGAAAACCTCCCGTCTGTAATTAAGAAACTCTCGGGTAACAAGTGGAGAAAAGCATTACGACATAAAGAATTACCATCAAGTCTTGCAGTTGCTAAATTGGTGTCGGTGTCTGGGGACATTGAGGTGACTATGACATTGAATGACCCGTTGTCGAAAGACATTAGGGTTGGGGAGCTTGTGGTTAATGAGGTCCGCATGCAAATTCCACCTGAAATGTTTGATTTGTCAAAGATTGTTTGTGGGACGTATGTAGATTCAAGGATGATGATTCTTCGCAGTGTCAATGGATCCGCACTTTTGTTTAGTAGGATCGGATGTTAATGTTAATGTTAATGTTGATGTTGATGTTGATATTGTGCTAGTTTGTATATATTTAGAGATTGTTGTTATATGTGTACATTTTTCTTGTACAAAATAATAATAATAATTTGGGTTACGGGATCAAAACGTGCTCGTAAAATTTTATATCCTAAAAAAACAATAAGATATGATACAAATTGGATTAAATGGGGATCATATAAGTTTCGTAGAGCTGTTATTAATGATGAAAGTAAGGAAGAGATGCATGTCTTTTGCATTCACTAAAGATTGGGAATAAGCTTCCTCGCTTGTTAATCTCTTTCACAAGATGAACATGAAGTGGACAAGTATCTCTATTAATAGCTTACCCTTTGTCGTTCAATAAGTATGGAAATCACAATTGTATATCCTAAGGTAGTTCTTGGAGTAAAAGACAAATTTGGCTAATTCTCAAACTTTTTTCAAAATTTAGCCAAAAAAGTAAGATTTACCAAAATAGCCACAAAATCAAAACCCCTTCCCATATTATACAAGTTTATTCCAAAGCATACGGCTTTTTAGATGTAGATGTTGATATCTATACATACGGATTTTATATTTATGATATAAAGAAGTACCACATGGTGGATATATAGGAGTCAAAATCTACCTAACCACTTTCGCAATTCACTTGTGAAGCTAGAAATACGCAGCCAAAATATGTAATAGGTCGCAAAATCGGCCTCATGATCCGGGAATGGTTGTTTGGTGCTCGGGTATACAATGAATTAATATAGTGATTTTTATTTTCTTGTTATTATCCTAGATCTATAATTTTGCTAATTTTGGTGTATTTTTGGCATTTCAATTTGTGAAAATGGGGTTTTTGCATGTAAAACTAATATTTTTGCATGTCACACCTAATAAAATATAAATTCCACATGCGAAATCCTCATTTTCACATATAAAAACTAGTGTTTCGAAGGTATCATCTGCGAAAATACAATTCTTTTACGTAATGATAATTTTTGCAGGTGGAATTGGTATTTTCTCAGATGTGACCTAAAAAAATATCAGTTCCACATGCAAGATCCTCATTTTTGAAAGGTGGAAACCGATATAAACCTCTACTCTTTATATATCATACCTAATGCTAACTCCATTGTTTGTTCTTTATTTTAACATTTAAATAGTGATTTTAGTGGGCAAATAAAGGCAAAAGAAACCGCCAATAATGATCAACGCGTAGTAGATTGTCTACTAGGTACACATCGAGGACCATCTGATACCACGTCTTTCATATATTGGTTGGATGTACGTTCAACATCGAGGCACTCGTTGCTTATTCATGGATTGATGCTTCATGGAGTCCTTACGGATGAAAAAATTATCGTCCAATAATGTTTGTGATTTTCTGTTTTAACGTATGAGCTGTCGTTTGGGTTGCTCAAGTTTTGTCACTAGATTCAGATTCGAGTGTGTTCCAAACTTAAAAAGAGAATTGAAGATCATTCTCCCAACATTCCCAAAACATGAGTTCCAAACAAACAGATAGCATATTACACGACGATACATGGGGAGCTTCCTTGCTTCATATGCTTTGTGATGGATTTCTAGGACTGGAAAAAAATGACAATATCACGCGTCAGTAGCTTTCACTCGTCGAGCTATGCCATTTATATTGTTTACTACTATTATACTCCCTCCCTCCCAATATTATTGTCCACAGACAAAAAAACATACAGATTAAGAAAATCATTAATTACCACTAACTTTATATAATAAAATGACAGTTTTGTCCTTACTTTGCATTTAACGTTCCATTAAATGCTTAGTTGGTTAAGTAATAATGATGATGTATTTTGGTAAAAATGTTATTTATTTTTAGAAGTGAACGATTATTTTGGGACAAACCAAAAAGGAAAGATGAACTATAATTTTGGGACGGAGGGAGTAATAAATATATGTTGTTATTAATAAAATAGTAAATTACACGAATGGTCCTTATGGTTTGGGATATTTTGCACGTTCGGCCCCTAACTTATTTTTTAACTAGGAAGGTCCCTACAGTTTGTTTTTGTTGCGCGTTTGGTCCCTGTCATACTTAAAAAGACTATTTTTCCCTTGATTTTTTAATTTATTTAAATAAGATGAGATAGGTAAGGTAAGGTTGAAGTGAGGTTGGGGGTGTATTTATTTAAATAAATTAAAAAATCAAGGGAAAAATAGTCTTTTTAGGTAAGACATGGACCAAACACGCAACAAAAACAAACAGTAGGGACCTTCCGAGTTAAAAAAAATAAGTTAGGGACCAAACGTGCAAATTACCCCAAACCATAGGGACCATTCGTGTAATTTACTCTTAATAAAAAAAATATTCTATATATGACATGTTTGCTTGGGGTGGTTTTTTTACGGACACACGCTACAAGAAGATGTGTAAGTGTTTTGAAAAAGCATTGACGTACACCATCTATGCATTTCTATTGTTGATCATGGTAATTAAATTGTATTAATATTTTGATATTATAGTATGTAGTTTCATGCCTAACCTTTGAAATAATTACTTGATAAATAGGTATTTGGGAGATACTTATTGTCGAGAATGGTAAGTAGTATGATAGGACAAGATTCTCAAGCCGAGCATGATGACAATAAATTAAAATGATCACTTGGGATGGGTTACGAGCCTAGTCAAAGACCAATTCGGGACAAAAAAACAATAATAAATTCTGATATATAGATTCATAATAACAAATGTAACTTAATTAATCTATGCAACTTAAATGGCTGAATAAAACAAATCGTACCTTCATGTTTTTAATTAACTTTGGTCTAGCTAGTTGATCGAACTTGAGAACCCAACGTAGAGTTCCTTTCTTGTGATCGCATCCAAGACGCAAAGCACAAACAAATTTGAAAGCACCTCGAGAACCAACACAAAATAAACTCGATCAATGGATCTGATGTAACATTCATAATTTGGTATGTTTCCCTTTTAGCCCTTAATACAAAATCTATATCTTTTTGGTCCCTAGTTAGTACGCCCCCCGCGTACTCTATGAGTACGCTTAGCGTACTAGCTCTTTTGCGTATGTGGAGTACGCATGGCGTATGTTGTGCAGGGGTAAACCCTAATTTTTAGGGTTTGCACCCTATTTAAGCAACTTATACCACCTTTGGACATTCTATTGATCAGTCTCCATCACCCTCTACCCTAAAAACGAAACCCTAAGTGCTTTTGGTGAGTTTTGAGCTTGAAAGTGAGATTTGGTGGTGTTTCTAGTAAAGAAGAAGAAGAACACTTGGTGGTTGCTTGGGAGTAGCTTGGGCTTATAGATCCAAGGTCATCTTCATTTTAGCAAGTCACTTGAGGTAAAAAAGCTCCCATATTGATGATTCCTTATGCTAGATCCAACTTAGGGTGTTATTTATGCATTTTTGGGTCTTTTGAGTTAAAGTTGAGTTTTTGATCTACTCCAGAAGCCATGGATGTTAGATCTTAGCTCCATTGAGGTCCCTTGTTCATAAAAATGCAAACTTTATGTAAGATATTGGTCCATGTAAGTGTTAAGAGTCTTATTAAGCTTCGTTTTTAGTGTTGGACCCCATTAAGTCATACATGGGTGTAAAGTTGTTAACTTTACGTATTAAGTCGCCATTTAGAATCAGATCTGAGAGTTTAGCGTGTTGGCTTAACCAATGAAGTGATTAATGGGTTGGGTTGGTAATCTGGGGAGTACACTGGGCGTACCAAGCTGGTACGATGTGCTTACTAGCCCTAGAAGGATTACGCTAAGCGTACGAGCTGAGTACGCCCCACGTACTTAGAAGATTGACTTTCGGTTTGACTTCCTCAGGTTCGGGCCATGTTTTGGGATTTTAGGGTTGAGGCCTTATTGGGCCATTGGATTTCTGAATTTGGGCCATGGATAGACTATGGACTTCCTTAGGATTAGGTCCATGATGGTTTTTGGGCCCAATTAAGAAGTTGAGCCACATTGGGGCTTGGGATGCCATTTAAGGAATTTGGGCCTTTTGAGTATATGAGTTGGGCATTGGTTTTGGTCCAATTAAGAAAAAGGGTAAAATGGTCTTTTACCCTGAAAATTGGACAAGTAGCTTAGATTCTTGATTATGGGTCGAGATCTAGTTATTAATTGGATATTATTTGATAATGTTAGCGCGGAGATTTTCCGGACCAGCAGACTGAGATTTTAGTGATTCGAAGGCACCAATGCGGACCCATGGTTTGTTATGTTTAGGATGCTAGTTGTCTGCGTGACTCTTGCATGTGTTATGTGTTTCTATGATTACCGGGCACAGCCTGATTATTGTATTGTATGTTATTTATCTTTGTGATTTTTATGCATGTGTGTATATGTTATATGTATACTAGACGGGGCCTGATGATTGACAACTCTGTTTACTGAGCGGGGCCCGATGATTGGCAGGGCCCATTATATGTTTGATATGTATGGTTATAACGCCCGCAGATTCAGGCTCGTTAATTTAGTGACGATAAGCGTCAAAAAATGAATTTTTAATAGAAGATTATTTAGAATAAATAATCTTAACCAAGTTATAGTATATTTCACAAGGGTTCCGTACATATAAAGAACACCGAAATCCGAGTTATAACGAAAAAGTTATGACATGTTGAAGTTTTACGGCAAAACCGACACGACACCGGGAATCGTAAAAAGTGATTTTTTTGATAAACTACTTTTTAGCCTTATAGATCTAAATGAAAGTTGTAGTATACGTTAAACCGGGAACATACATAAAAAGAACGCTCAAATCTGACTTCGTATGAGGAAGTTATGATTTTTCTAAGATTTGGCATAGCAATGCACAACCCGGAATTCAAATTTTAGATCGAGCGGTTTTTGGCCAATGCCACCTAAATGAGAATTGAAGATCTCATTAATAGGAGCTCAACAATAAAAAGACAGACGAAAACGGAGTCCGTATGTAGAAGTTATGAATTTTACGCGGTCATTTAACAGTAAATCTTCTCTTACAGTTAAATTTAAAATCGGTTGAGAATTAGCCAACGGAGTCAAAAGGAAAGTTGTAGATCTTGTCATTACCTACGCGTGGATATAAATAACGTAAAAAACGGAGCTCATATGCGAGAGTTATGATTTTTCTAAGTCGGGAATAAG